AAATAAACGATATTCCCAATAAATGCCTGTAACACGCCTCAGCGAGTACAAGCGAAAAGTTTCGTACAATGAGTTAAATGCATACAATGCTGCATGCAGAAGTATGTCAATTCATTCAAACTTCTGTTTATTGATTTATGGGAAAACTGATCCAGCTAGGCATGTTATTTCAATGAATACGGAAACTGTCTTTATCTCTGCTATTGGTGCAGGCGGTAGTAGGTGTGATAAAAAAAGCAAACTATGTATGGGACATAAAGTAGGTAATAGTCTATTTATAAATTAGTCAATAATTATTATGTGATGATGCTCTGGGCGTCATTAATATAATTATGGAAAAATTGGAACTCTCTTTAATTATTTCTCTCTGAGCATTCGTATTTACCACTAATACAAATAATGCTTGCAAATATATGTTGGTAATGAATGTATAAAAGTACTTTTACATTAAAAAAATTTGTGTTAAAGAGAAAAATGTGAATTGAACTGATACCTTTGGTATTTTTGCATATTTTCCTGTTCGAGTATCCCTTATAACTGCTATGTCCAGCATATCCATCTCATTATTTTGATCCACCCAGTGTAAGTAAAAACCATACTTATCCACTTTTAAAGTCACTGGCGTTGCCACCCCAGAATCCTACGATTACATAGCAATTCGTTATGTAAGATTTATTTTTTTATTATGAAAGATTTATTTTTGCCGCGTGACTGCTTTCTGTAATTGCTCTATACTATATAATGTTCTTTTTGACACGTCTAAGTTGATGTCTCGAGAAAGGAATGTGACACGAACTATTATCTCGGAACTTTGTTTCTTCTTTTCTTTTTTCATTTTTTTTTTTTTTGGAAAGGCTTTATTAAGCTAGGAGGAAATGCTTTTATACCTAAAGTGACCTTTTACATTTATACTTTTACTAGCGCTCGACGTTAAAATTGTCGACTGCCAGCCATAACATTAAAAATATACATGAACCTCATCCCACTTGATAAACTTCTCTCCATCCTGCAGCTGCATGGAAACCTCCACGGGCTTTATATGCATGATGACGCCTGTACCCTTATTACCCGCCATCCTGATTTCTCGTCGCAAACCCACACTGTTCAGCACCGATTCTTCTTTACAGACTTGGAGACAAAGCTACGAGCGGCTTGGAGAACAGCGATAACGAACACGCAGATGTTGACCATAAGAATGACGACGACGATGGTAATGGTGGCGGTGGCAGCGGCGGCGACGGCGACGACGACGACTGCGGTAGCGGCGACGACGACGACGGCGGTAGCGGCGACGACGACGTACGATGACTCCAACTCTAACCACGTTAGCAGTGACGACAATAATAGTAACCACGATGACGATTCTGACTCTGATGGCGACGGCGACGGCGATGGCCTCGGCGACGACGACGACGACGACGACTCCGACGGCGACGACGTCGACGACATAAGGCTCATCGAGATTTCAAGCATTAGGAGCACCTGGATCACCGTGTCCTGGTCGCCGCTGCTGGTACCAAAGCGAGGACGACTGTCGCCGTCGTCGTCGTCGCGTTGGGAGCACCTCGCGTAACTCGCTCTTACAAATACACACGGTATATCTCAAAAGATGTGCACTCGACGCGTACGCTCCCCGGGGAGTGCCTGAGGAACCTCGATCGTCGAACCCGGTTCGCGAGCCTCGCCTCGCCTCGCTTCGCCTCGCCTTGTCTCGTCTCGTCTCGTCTCGTCTTGTCTCGTTTCCTCTCGCCTCGCCTCGCCTCGTCTCCTTCAGCCGGGTCGCGGCCGAACGGGGATTGCCCGCCGAGACATTTTACCGACGAGGAAAGAGCGTGCCGCGATGACGATCGTCCGGAGCCACCAAGTGGATGTCCTTAAACGCGCGCGCGCGCGCGCATACAGCAGGACTCCGTCGGGCACGCGAGAGAGAAAGAGAGGCGACAGCAACAACGACGACGATGACGTTGATAACTTAGAGGCACGACTGGTCGCGAGCACTCTCTTCTCACGCTTCTTAGCCTCTCGCTCATTCGTCGTTGGTCCAGCTCAGCCGCTTGCTCCGAAGCTGCTGCGACGGCGGCGGCAGTAGCAGCAGCAGCAACAACATCGTCATCCTCCTTCCGCGCCGAGTGTCGCGCCGCGCGCCGAGGACAAGCACCGACAGGACAGCCACCGCACGCCGTCCGCGCGCCGTCAACACCAGGAGGCGCTCTACCGAGCCGCGGACTGCCGCGCGCACCCGCGTCGCTCTTCGCCACGATTTCGCGCCCCTCGACTCGAAGTCCGCGTCGCGATTCCCCGAGTCTCGCGCGCGACACCCGGGTCGGCTCGTCACCTCCCCACGCTGCTTAGCATCGCTAAATTAGCAAGCGAGCCTCACCTGTCCGCGTACTATATATACGTGACGAGGGCTGATGAGGGCGACTTTGATCAAATCCAATCAATCGGCGACAAAATTTCTGGCTAATTCGTTGACCGTCTGACCTTTATTAAATAGTAAAAATGCAGTATAAGTTCCCGTCAGTGGAATATTAAAATTTTTACGCTTGGATTTTAAATCCGTTTTACGACTTAAATTTGTTTATACGGCTTGAAATTTGCGCAAAGTCATAACAGAGTCATAAAGATAAAAAATTCTGTTTATAATAAAATATTATGTAGTATTTTTGTAATATTTTTTTTAGAATTTATTAGCATATTACTTTTCTAATTAGATTGATTACACATTTTCGAGTTAATTTTTAATTTAAAATTGTATAAAAAATTTTATATAATTGTATAAAATTGTTTTCTAAAGTTTTTTTAAAATTTTTATTTGATGAGATATGAGCGACACAATGAAAAATTATTGCAAAATTTTTGATTGTGTAATTCATTGTTGCTCTAATTTTTATTAATAATAAAAGTATAGTAATTTTGTCAATATTGAAGAATAGAATAATATCAGCAAAATAAAGTCATTTTGCTTTGATTTTAAATTCGTTTTATGGTAGAATTTGTGTGAAGTTAAAAAGATATCGATATCAAGGAAAGACTCATAGAAAAATATAGATTAAAGTTCTATTTGTGATAAAAGATTAACATAAAATTTTCAAAAGTATACTTTTAAAATTAATCAATACTTCATCAGTACTTGGCTAATTAGATCGACTTCACATTTATTTTCAAATTAATTTTTAATTTAACATAAACTTTTAAATGCATTTTATACAATTAATAAATATACTTTTTTAAGATCTTTATAACTTCTTTTTTATAGGATATAAATATCATTTGATAAGTTAATCGAAATTTGAAAACCAAACCGATCGACTCTATTTTTCATAAATCTCATTATTTTGCGAAATTCATCAATTTTCTTTGAAACACGAAAAGAAAAATTTCTTCTCTCTAAAAGATTATCTCTTCTCCTTCTCCCTGGCTGCAAATAATATTTTAATTATATTTAAACGCAACTTGCGTCCATAATAAAGGAAGAAAAAATTTCTTTGCAATCCCTTAAACAACTTTGAATTATGATTTGTGATTTCCCTGACCATTACGATAATTGCAATTCCCCTAACTGTGACTCAAATGGAAACTTTTCTGAGATAAACAGGAAATTCTTTAAAACTCAATTCTAAACAACATTGAAGCTAGTCAATTCGAATCGATTTGCCGCTCCCTGTCTCAAATTGCGATATTACCTATAACGCGAAGATGAATAGCGTTTTTGCGTTTAAAAAAAGAAAGTCTTTCCTCTCACTTTTACGGAAAAGGAGCGGTTGTTCTTTCTCGTTCGTTCTCTTTCGTTTTTTTTCGCGTTAAAAGCGATTGCGTCGATCGCCGGAGAAAGGACATGAAAGCCCGACCATGTACGCGAGAAAAGGGGAGAAAGAGCTGGAGAGAAAGAGAGAGAGAGAGAGAGAGAGAGAGAGAGACAAGTGTAACGAGG